GTAGCCTTCTGGAAAGTTAAAAGGGTGGAAGCTTGCTGGATCCTGAAGTTCCACAAGATAGAGGCTGTTACAGAAAAGGGAGAGTTCCTAGGTCTCATTAGCAGGCAGCATTTAAGGGGGAGGGAGGCCTGGAGCATGCCCAGTCTTAAATAACCTGATGGAGTAGGCAAATACCCTCAGGAAGAACTGGGGTCTGGCAAATAACCTGGCCCCATTATGGACGCATGCACTATTCAAGTATGTTAGGAAATGTCATTAACTTCAATAGACAATATAAGAAAGGTTACAACGTTCTCTATATAAAGCATGTTATCTACCACTCTGATTGTCTCTTACTATGTTACTATGTCACATTTGCTTGCCTCCCACATTTGCTTGCCTCCCAACCACAGATTTAGAAATTTATAAAATAGTTCTGATTATAATACAATTAGCTTAGTTTTCAGAGCTAGAAACAAAGTCATCTGCTCCGATTTCTATACTGTTTGCAGAAAATAATTCTTCCTGATCCATTTTTGCATAAGCTTATGCATGTAACTGCATTTTTATGTACAATATCCACCAATACATTCATTTTCTCAGCACTTTTCCATAATATATGCTATTTTGCACACAGCTTCCCCAATGTATTTTTCATAATTTTATCATAGATTGATAAACCACATGAATGATGACTATTTTACTATTTGGAGAAGAATAAAAAATAAAGAATATAGCTTTGTGATATGCCAGCAACATTCAATTTAAAATGCATTTAAATTGTATTTAATGCAAACTAATTCAGGAAATATGAATTAGTTTTCAATAAATAAATTCAAATAAATTTCCTATCTTCCCTATTAAGAACCAATCTGAATCCAACAAAATTAAAAATTTGTTTAATTACTTTTGAGCAAACATTAAAACACACCTGACATTTTTAGGAAGGTTTTTTTTAGAAGGGATCAAAGAAATTACTTCAATGAATTCATGATTCATTTGAAAACAGTGTGCAATTCTCCACATGATCCTCTCAACAATAAAAGCAAAAAAAGCAATAAAAGCATTAGAAGTAATGGAAAACAAAATTTTCTTAAAGGAAAAACCTGTCACATTTCAACATTACTTATAGAAAACTACATGATTTCAATAAATTTGTACATCCTTCTGAGATGTATTTTCAATGATATACTGCTGTACTTAATCTGAATACTTGTATAAACATGTAAAAGTTAAATATGGTTCACTAAAGTAAGAAAAGGAAGTCAGAAATCTGAACCAAGGGAGATAGGGAGAGGAAAGAAATAACTTCATTTGCTGAATTTCTTTCATCTCAACACTTTCCTTTCTGATAGGTTTGTTGCTCAGTTTAGACTAAGATAAGCTTCTCATCTCATTCAGCCACATATTTATCACATGTTCTTAACTTTGATTCTTCTAAGAATGAATGTAAACATGCACTACTTTCAAAAACAAAGATAAAAGTTGCACCAACAGGAATGAGGCTCCAAACTGGAAAGATGCTTCGTCCCTTCATCTTTTTCAGTTCGAAGTAGGAGAAAACATGCACTAAACTCCAGTTTTATTTTAGCTAAGTCCAGATTTGTAATTATGTTATTTATTATTTAAAATACACTGCTATGTGTTGTATGCCACCCACTATTACATGTTGTATGCTACCCAGAGTCACTTGCTTTTGAGATGGGAGGCTCTATAAATTAGATAAATAAAGCCAGAAAAAATTACTCATGGTGCATTACTTAAGAGACTAACTAGAATGTATTTCATCAGGATTCCCATTTGCGATCACAAGCTAGGAAATATGCTAAAGTTAAACTAAATCCTAATTTGTTTCTCTTTATAGTAAACTCTAGTTCCTATGTACATATACTGTCCTCTCCAAAGAGGATAAAATTAGCATAATCAGATACAAAGTAGATAGGGATTCTGAAATGTTGAAGCATTAATGCAGTGTTTCTCAACCTTGACAATTTTAAGGCATGTGGACTTCAACTCCCAGAATTCCACAGCCAGCAATGCTGGCTGTGGAATTCTGGGAGTTGAAATCCACATGCCTTAAAATTGTCAAGGTTGAGAAACACTGCATTAATGTCTAGAAGAGTGGTTTGAATGCAATCTTCTTCTGCTGGTATTTCCTCTTTTTCCCTGCCTACTTTTCTATCTGATTATCCCTATCTCTAAAAAGTTACAAAGTTCAAAATTTGGCAGAATGTGGTTCTTCTTTTATTCCTATAACTCAAATGTAACTTGAAACTTATTACATTCTTATATCACTGTTTTTTCTAAACAGTATTATTCTACTGCTAACTAATTGGGAATATATTAGAAACTGGCTTCCAACTAGACCCATGGGACATTGTTTTTGTCTCTACATTAATTGAAGACTGTTACTGCCAGAAGTGGCTCAGCATAGGTCCCATAATGGACCTAACTGATCGCTCAAAAGGTAAGCAGTGTTGGTGTTGATTACCTGGATGAGGGACTACCTGGGAATCCTGGAGCTATTGGTTAAATAAGGAAGTATAAAAAAAGCCCAAAAGAAGGCAAAGCCAAACCACTGCTATCATTGCCAAGAAAACTGCATGGATGGAGTCATGAATTGAAGTAGCTTAAGAAGGTTTTTACCTTTTACTGACAGAAGTTACAGCCCTTTGAGTGGTTGGATAGTTCACTAGTAGCTGGGTTATTCACCACTTGCAAAGTTAGAATGCTAGGAACTTGGTCACACTTTCAGAGACAACTCTTACATTCTATTGACACACAATAGAAACAAGTGATCATATCAAGAGGAGCAGTGATTTTTATTTATTTGGCAGCCGATAGCTAACAGACCAGGCTTGGCTAAGCAAAACTTATTTAATGATGAAAAAAGAAAAGAACAAGTTGTTCTTTATATAAGCCTAAAAGACCATAAGCACAGCAGAACAAATTCCAAGAAGAGTACCAGTTTGTAATTTTAATCTGAAGAAGAGCAATCATTTTTACTTTATGTATTCTGAAAATTATATCCATTCCACCTTCTCCTATTCAATATTATTTTTAGTTATATTAATGTACAATGATAAGTCCAATTCACACACTATACAAAATTAGAACAAAGAAATTCAGGTTAAAATCCCCATTCATGCACAAGGTTCACAGAATAATCTCCAGCTAGTCATTATGTAAGCATGCTATCCAACAGACATATAAATTGGCAGGATAAAATGGTAAGAAAGAAACAAGTACATCAACTTTCTGTCACTGAAAGAGAAGTCAGACAGTAAGATAAACAGACTGGGAAATTTCCCACAACCCTTCAGTTCAGCTGTGACCAAGTTTAGAGAAATAGGATCATGTATGCTTCTAAAGACAAGAGATACCAGATTCAAACAGGAGTATCAAAGTAAAATACAAATACTATTCTGAATTCTATTATAGAAATCCACAATGGTATACAAAAAGAAAGGGTCTGGGAGATAATTCATTTGCAAAAGTGCAGCTCATTCCTTAAACAATCACATTGTTTTCAATATTTATAATCTTTTGCTAACTATAATTATTTAGTTTCTAATTTTTAAATATGTTAATGTATATAACAGAAAGCTACTTGTTGAAGCATGGATTAGACATCAGTATCCATACACCCCACTGTCTGAATTATAAAGTAATTTGTAACGTTCATTTTATACACATATTCAATAATTTGTTAAAAATATAACTGCCAATTCATTAAAAACTATTATATTCAAGAGTCATTGAGCAAAGATGGCACTATAATATAGTTTTCTATTCATAACTTCTCCAATACTCCACAGCTATATATTTTAAAATTGGTTATTGCTGTAATCATAGTTTCAGAACAAAACGAATTTCATCCTAAATCAGTCTTAAATTTCATAAACAATGAAAATAAGTTCTGTAATTAAATGAAGAGACACTGCACTAAAATATTCATTTGTTCTCCTTGTTATTGCAAACAACCTTAATACTAATTTCAGAAAGAATATATGGAAAAAAGAATCATTATGAAGTTTAATAGCTGAAAACAGCCATACTTGTATGAAGTATTTAATATGTTATTCCTAGAGTTTCCGGCACAGCTGATGTGTAATTGCAGCTATCATATCTCTAAAGAAAAGCCTTCCTTAACAAATGAAGTAACTTATAATATTTAATAACAAAGATGGTAGACAGGGCTTATCAATTCCAGTATTATACAACGTTTCATTTTCAGTTTTTCAAAAATGTCTTTAGCAGGCTATATGAAATTCAACTTTTACCACAGTTTTTAAAAAATGATGATATTCATGATCAGGATTCCACACCAGATTCTGTACTTGTGGATATTGCAAGTTTAAAAATAAGGAACACACTAGATTTTTTTTCATCCCATTTACTTTTAAGATTCTGATCACCAACTGACAGTGCCTTTCAATTAACAGACACATATACAGATACTGTATCCCCTGGTTAAAAACCTGCATTCTTTTTTTTTTTTAAACACTCTCTACAGCTTGCAGCAATATTTATGCAGTAGACGAATATTGTAAAGATACTTCCGGGAACTCAAAAATGTACTTCAACCAGACTCCAGAACAAAGACAAATACATTTCAGCTATCCTTTAATTTCAATGAACAAAACAAAACAAGGTAAATAAGCCTCCCCAGCACCCCAGAAATAAAAGAAATCCTCCTTTTCCCTCCAGCAAGCTATCAGTTCTGGCCTAAGCAGCCATGTCCTCATTTCCCTTTAAGGTGTTGCAGAAGAAAAAAAACTCCAGTACGTCGGATTTACATTTTGCTTTCAGCACACGCAGAGCAAGAGTATACGAAAACAAAAAAATTGAAAAAGTCAACTCACATATACATCGCTGCCTGAAAGCTAAAGGGAGGAAAATAATCCGCAGGCTGGAACTGAAAACGGCTACAATACGCACACCAGGGAGTGAAGCTCGGAGAAACATAACCCTCCGCGACGCCCCATTTCCCCCCCCCCAACTCCCATAAAGGGGTTTACCTTCATGATGAACTCAGGCTGCAGCAGAAAAATCCGAAAGCGAATGTGCTGCCAAGGCTGGACCTGAAATTTAAAACAAAGCACTGAGCCACAGCACCATCCCCCTTTTTCAACGGGGCGCACTCTGCAAGTGTGGGGAGGGGGCCGTTTTGCAGGAATCTCTCCCCTCGTCTCCCATTCCAGCTTACCTCTCCGTTGCCCTCCCCCCCCCACACATTCCCCCCCCCTTTCTCTTACGCCGCCTCTCCGCTCCAGCCACAAAAAGCCGCTGCTCTCGGAGCCCCACGCCCGCGGCTGCCTTCCCCCTCACCCGCTGCCTTTGACGCCATTTCTGTCAGAGCAGAAACTTGCCACAACAACAACCGCTTCTTAACAAACCCCCCCCCCC